TTTGTGGGCTGTGGGCTGGTTCAACACAGTTCTGTGACTTGTGGGGCAGAGGGATCTGTAGATCTGCACCTCTGGAAAAGGGGATAAGGGAAAAAGGGTGAGAGATGGGCCCCAAAACAAAACAACGGCAACAATCTGAGGAGAAACAAACTAATTTACTAAATAAGATATTGGAATGCAAGATAACACTATAATACAATATAATATAATTAGAATTGGGGCTAACAAATCAAATATAATGAGAGAGAGTGTCTGAAATGTGGAAAGGCCTCACCATAACGCTGAGGTGAGATGTGCAGTCAGGTCAAGCAGCAGGGAGGAGAAAGAAAGATGGAAAAAGGGAAAAGAGAAAGTCAGGTGACACATGAAGGCCTTATATCTGTTCACCGTGAGCTGAAATGATAACAGAACAGCAAGTAGTCTTCAGGGGAATGTAGTAGTTTTCTTCCAGGACAGGTATCCAGACCTGGAGCATTAACTCTTTCACTCCCAGTGCACTACATGATGCTGTGATATGGAATACCAATAACCAAAAATCATAAAACCATGATGTTCTGTCATCCCAGGTCTGTGAGAAATTGTGCTGTGAAGAGTCCAGGCATCACATCTCCACAGCGATGGACATGCTGAAGGGCTGAAACATAGTCAAGTTCAGGACTGCAAAGCAGACTACTATCTGTGCATAGAATTATCGAATGAGTTAAAAGCCAAAACAAGTGCTAAATTCAAGCTCTTGCTCTTAGCAGTGTGCTATTTACTGTTGTTTCTTTTTTAAACAACAACAATAACAAAACTTCTCTTTGGATTGCTTTATTCTATTATGAAAGTAACTTCATTTGTTTTTTAAAAAACAAATAGCCATTATTATGAATGTTTTGACTTTACTTTTCTGTAAGCAAGTGCTACTTGTCTAACATGAAAATGTATCATTTCTTCAAATTATTGTTTCATATTTGCATATCACTTTTGTACACTCTTGTATAGTACGAGGGATCTTTCTCTAAAATTAAAATCTTATAACCTAAATATATAAATGGATGAAGATGCATGCCTAGGGAAGAAAAAAAAAAAAAAATCAAACAACTCACAAAGTCAATCTACACAGCTTCAGGAAAGTAAAGCCGAAGTTTGATGAAAGTAAAGCAGAGTAGCGTGAGTGAGGATCATTGGCAAATGACGGCAAGGAGGCCCTCACTGCATTGTACTGCTGCCCCCTTACGACAAAGGACACGAAGACCATGAGGAGGCTCATCAGAGGCCTAAAAACAAGTGAGGTTTAAGTGTAGGAGTTTTGGCAGGGTTCCTTTGCCTTTATGTATGTCACTGGACTCTACCTGGTTGCTTTTGTACTCTGAGGCACAGAATCACAGAATCATTTAGGTTGGAAAAGGTCACTTAAGATCATCTAGTCCAACCTCAAACCATCCCTACCATGCCCCAAAACTATGTCCCTCAGTACCACATCTACACAGTTCTTGAACACCTCCAGGGATGTTGACTCCATCACCTCCCTGGGCAGCCTGCGCCACTGCCTCACCACTCTTTCTGAGAAAAAAATTTTCATAATGTTCAGCCTGAACCTTAAAGCCATTCTCCACTGTCCTATCACTGTTACATGGGAGAAGAGGCTGACCCTCACCTCACCACAGCCTCCTTTCAGATAACTGCAGATAGCAATAAGGTCTCCCCAGAACATCCTGTTCTCTGGGCTAAACAATCCCAGTTCCCTCAGCTGCTCCTCATAATGTTTGTGCTCCAGACCCCTCACCAGCTTTGTTGCCCTTCTCTGGACACCCTCCAGGGCCTCGCTGTCTTTCTTGTAGTGAGGGGCCCAAAACTGAACACAGTACTCAAAGTGGTGGCCTCAACAGAGTTAAGTACAGAGACGATCACCTCCCTGCTCCTGCTGGCTGTACCATTTCTGATACAATGAAATGTATCAGGGTGCTATTAGCCATCTAGGCACACTGCGGGCTCATGGTCAGCTGGCTGTTGACTAATACAGCAAGATCCTTTCTTTCATGCAGCTTTCCATCCACTCTGCCCCAAGCCTGTAGTATTTCCTGGGGTTCTTGTAGTCCAAGTGTAAGACTCAGTACTTGGTCTTGTTGAACCTCATCCCAGTGGCCTCAGACCAGCTATCCAGCCTATCTAGATGCCACTGTAGGGCATTTTCTACCCTCAGGCAGATCAATACTTCCTCCTAGCTTAGTGTTGCCTGCAACCTTATTGAGGATGCACTCAATCCCCTTGTTTGGAAACATGTTATTATCCCCACCCTCTGAACATACAAAGTGGTGGGAGCCTGTCCTGTGCTGAAAGTAGGGGGAGGCACAAAGAAAGGCAAAATCACAGAATCTCAGGAATTGGAAGGGATCTCAAAAGATCATTGAGTCCAAACATCCTGCTAAAGCAGGTCTCCTACAATAAGTTGTACAGGTAAGTGTCCAGATGAGTCCTGAATATCTCCATGGAGGGAGGCTCCACATCAACCACTGGTTCAAGGGATGGAATATCTCTCCTTCAAGGAGAGGCTGAAAGAGTAGGGGCTGTTTAGCCTGAAGAAGAGAAGGTTCTGAGGTGACCTGATAGCTGCCTTTGAATCTCTATAGGGGAGTGACATGAAAGAAGGGGACATTCTTTATCAATGTCTGTGGTAATAGAACAAGGGGAAATGGCTTCAAGCGTAAAGAAGGTAGACTTAGGTTGGATATAAGGAAAAAATCTTTTACTGTGTGGGTGGTGAGGCACTGGAAGAGTTATGTGGGCACACCTGATCTGGCCATGGTGCCATCAGACTGTCAGTACTGAACTGAAAAAATAATTTGAAAGGATGCTGTTAACAGATTAAGATGTCTCAAATATTATGGGGAATTTCAATTAAATACAGCATCATTCTGAAAAAGGTGCTACTGTGGGCTGTCAGGACATTTGAAGGACTCATCTGAAAGCAAGAAATTGTGAGACATTGGAAAGCTTTTCAGATAAAAGGGAAAGAAACAAACCTTGGGTTATAGGTTAAAGTAAACTGTTAGGAGCTTCCTGTTATCAGGTTGGTGCTGAGATACTGAAGATGAAGATGATATTCTTTGATTTGTATTCTTATTTGCCAGATATGAAAACCTATCCCCGTAATCAACATTTTCTGTATTTTCTGTTGTCACAGTTCTAATTTAACATTCAGCCTCATATACCTGAAATTTAACTTGATGAGTTGCTCCATTGCTTAAATGACTGGAAGTCACTTAGAATTAAAGCGCTTTTGTGCTGTAAATTGTGAGATAGCTTCTCATTACTTCTACTATTATTGTGCAGTATTCACAAAATCTGGATGTTCATAATTGCTTCTGATGGCAAGTACAGTGATCACTCCAGCTGTTCCAATACTATAGCATGTTAAATTGATTTTGTAGTGAGTTTGCATAAACATGCATGCATGGAAAATAACACTATAAATTTAAAATGCTATGATCTACACAAAATTTGTTAAGCTGCATGAGGCCTTTTGGGAAAACAAAAACAAAAACAAACCACCTTCTGGAACAGGAGAATTCCCAAAGTAGGATCTTGTGATTCTACGATTCTGTGATCTATTGCTACAACTTTCAAGTCAGATAAACTGAGTTAATATGAGGGCAGCATAAATACTTGAACCTGCTGAAGTCGATAGAAATTCGTCACCATTGACTCCAGTGGGGCAGGAATATGCTCCATGTTTCCTAAAGTGAGAGGTTTGGGGAAGAAAAATGACCTCTTGCTCATAGTTCCCTCATCTTGACGGCTGAGACCACTGCTGCATGCAAGATCCTGGATGAATCTCTCCTTCTGTATGCTCGTATTTCACACCATTTAATTTGGAAAACACACACACATATATGATTATGTATATATATACATATACATATATATGTACTTCAGTATATATATCTGAAATATATTCATGTGTCATTATGTAAACAGGCTGCTCTGAAAGTAATACCTCCTACTTTATGATGTTGGCCCACAATGTCTGAGGTGGATGTTGGTGGTTTGGCAGTAGAGGTTGAAACTTCCCACCAGCATTCTGTTATATTTTGTTTCTCTGTGACAGATGGCAGCAGAGGGGCAGTCTGACAGAATGGCAACATTCACAGAAACTTGCTGACTGTATATGGAGACTAAATTATGTATGTGAGCAAAGCAATGCACTGGGCGATTTAATCCAGGAGCGGTAACAGAAGGTTACCTCTTCTGGTGAAGATTTTCCTGAGTGTGGTGTGCAGGCTTTTGTTCAACACTGACGAAAATCCGTAGCTAATGGTGTTTGGTCTGTTTAAAAACAGCATTTTGTAGTTGAGAATTTGTTCTATCATATAGTGTTATTGTGTTCTTTGTGTTGTAGTTGTGTTTGCAAATAAATAGGAGACATTACTTTCAGAGCAACTTACATGTATATACCGAACTGTATGTATACGATATATGGAGTATTTGTAATATATGGTGCACATACATATATGTAATGGCATTAGAATGGATAATAATATCTTTGGGATACTCTGAATTCCTTTGAAGAAGCAAACTAATAGCATTCTTGTGTTTTGATGACATCACTGTATTTAAGCGGGAAAATGAATTCTAGAGAGGAGTGAAGAAAATCTGCACACAAGTGTTCAAGAGCAGCTATCTAAGCATCCCAAGCCTTGGCCTCAAACAGACAATACACTCAGATCCAACCACAGAGAACAGAATTAACTCAATGCAGCTCTCATTTGTTTTGCTTTTCTCCAAACGGAGCATTTCGTTACGCCCAGCGAAGCGCCCTCGGCACGCTCACTCTGTGTGCGTCCACCTTCAGAACTCAGCGGGATCCCCACCGTTCCCAACCGCACGAGATCTCGGCGAGAAAGGCTTTTCTTAACCTCAGCGATTGAACAAGGCTATCCTGCGCCTCCCAGCTCTGCTGCTGAGGACCGGGTTCCGCGCAGGTGAGGGCGGCCGCGGAGCGGCGGGGCGGAGTCGGGGCGGGGCGGAGTGGCTGCGGCCGCACCGCCCCGCGCCGCAGGAAGCACCGCCCGTGCGCCTTCCTTCTTCTCTTCCTCCTCCGCCTCCGCCCGCCTCCCGCGGTGGCGGCGCGGCCATGCAGCAGTACTTTTCCCTGGCCGACTGCGAGGTGATGGGCTTCGATCTGGATCACACGCTGTGCCGTTACCACCTCCCGGAGAGCGCGACGGTGAGTGCGGGCACGGCGCGGCCGCAGAGTCAGGGTTGCCCGCTTTGCTCCGGCCGCCCGAGCGGAAGTGCGAGTGAGGGCGTGCGGGGCCGGCGGGGGTCTCGGGTGCGAGGGGAGTCCCGCGGGGGGACGGGGAGCCACCGGGAAACGTGAGAGGAGGGGAGAAGCGAGAGCCTCTCTCTTTGCCCGCCCCCTCGGCAGGCCTCAGCCCGACCGGGGGGCACTGCCGTGTCTTTGCCTTGGAAACGGCGCCTCCGAAGTGTTCTCCTGCCTGGAGTGGTGCTGAGAAAGGCAGAGTCCCCCCGCGCCGGAGCGGGCGGTTCGAAGTGCATAGCGCTTTCTGTAGGGGATCGTGGCAAACTTTGTCGTGCTTTGAACGGTGAGCATGAGGGCATTCAGCATCTCTGCCTCAGCATTGCTGTCTGTCAGAGCCTGATGGCATGCGCTGCACCTTCTGCCTCAGCACTTCTTTTCTGCTTGGCCCCTTTCAGTCTCGGGTGTTCCATCTGCAAGGCTCCCTTGTGTTGAGGTCAGAATGCTGCACAGCTGTCTCATGCCCCATGGATGTTCTTAAGTGTCATACAGAAATAACTGTTTTTATAGAAACAAGTGTAACAAAGGTGCAATGCACTTTGTTATGTGAAACTGCATTGCTTTCTAAGATGGTGTTTGATATCCTGCAGAGAGGTGTTTTTCTTACGGAAAAAGACTTCTCAAATTTTGTTCACTCTTCTCACAAGGCAGCGGCTGGTGGTCACATGCCCTTTGCGCATATCCGTACTGGTGACCAATAACGCACTTTAAAGTGCTGGCATGAGCACCAGAAGATACAGTTGTTACTGTTTGTCATTCTCACTATTCAAAGTCATTCCAAGAGCAGCTTTGGGAGAACAGTTTTAATGAAATAACTATGAGAAAAAGGGACCTGGCATTATCTGCTTAGATTTACTTGCGCAGCCTCACTAATGCATTGCAGTAAGAACTGGCTGAATGTTGTGCTAGACTTTAGCACTTATTCTTTCTGGCCTTATGAATCTTTTACTTAGTAGTTGCTGTTTTCTTCAGAATATGTTTTATCAGGAATGTTTAAAATGTTCTGCGTCCAGGTCTGGTGCGCCCAGTACAAAAAAGACAAGGAGCTGTTGGAGAGGGTCCAGAGGAGGGCCACAAAGATGGGCAGAGGGCTGGAGCACCTCCCCTATGAAGATGGGCTGAGAAAGCTGGGCTTGTTCAGCCTGGAAAAAAGAAGGCTGTGGGGTACCTCATTGCAGCTTTCCAGTACCTAAAGGAGCCTATAAACAGGAGGGCAGTCAACTCTTTACAAGCGTAGATAATAGCAGGACACAGGGAAATGGTTTTAATTTGAGGGAAGAAAGACTTAGGTTGGATATCATGGGGAAGTTTTTTTACAGAGAGAGTGGTGAGGTGCTGGAACAGGCTGCCCAGAGAGGCTGTGGATGCCCCATCCCTGGAGGTGTTCAAGGCCAGGTTAGATGGGGTCTTGGGCAGCCTGGTCTAGTACTGGATGTGAAGGTTAGTGACTTTGCCTGTGGCATGGGGGTTGGAGCCTGATGATCTTTGAGGTCCCTTCCAACCCTGGCCATTCTGTGATTCAATTATTCTGTGTTTACTAGCTGCAGTTGTTGATAGGCTCAGGTGCTACTTGTTGAATCAGGGTAACCTGACATTTAAAAAAAAAAAAAAAAAAAAAAAGACTTGGAAGGGGGAAGTAGTGACTGGCTTTGGGTGCTTAGCATCTTTGTTTCCCAGTAGTCTTGAAAATCTAGGGCAGTAAGGTAGAACGCTATACATCTGACTGTGTTACAAAAGTTGCCCCAGAACTATTGCATGAGCATCTTGAGCTGTTTTCCAGCCTACTAGAAGTAACTCAGGCACTACTGGTAAAATGCTGTGGAGCAGGTCCCCCGTGCTCCTTGTTTGCCTCTTCTTTGGTGGTACTAAATTTCACATCTTCCCAGGGAAAGCATTATTTTTAGATACCTTAATCAATGTAGTTAATACCATTTTAATTTTTTATTTTATTTTCCCATCTATAGCTAATATATGATAGTTTTGCTCAGTATCTGGTAACGGAGAAGGGTTACGACAAAGACTTGCTGACTCTAAATCCAGAAAGCTTAGACTTCTGGTAAGTATGTTGAAAATAACATAAACTTTCTTTATAACTTCCTTTATACTATTTGTAGTATACTTTTATGAAGCTTGGAAAACAGCTTCTTAGACGTTTGTTAAGACTATCAGACCAAATAGGTAACTTCAATTTTTTTCCAACAAGTATTTAAAACCATAAGTATTTCTCTTGAAATACTTCTAATATGATGTTTTGAAGAGACAACTGAATATTCAAGCTTGCTTTGTGCTTTCTATGAACTCCCCAAAAAATTTGTGGTTTAACTTGCTGAGATACACCTCCTTTTTCTTCTACCCTTAACTGGTAAATATAGTAACCATCAGAATTTAGTCATATCTCCATGTTTCTCTTTACAGATGTGTTTTTGTTTGTGTAAGGCAGAATAATCCCAACAGTCTTCTCAGGAACTGAGGAAAGGTGACATGCCAAGAAGTAGCCCTTGAGTGATGCTTTAGGCACAAAGCTGTAATGTAAGAAACTAAAACACAAGTTTCTGGTCTGAATTCAGTGGTATCTGAGGTGGAACTTTAATGTGAATCACTGATGTTCCAACTTTTATAGGTTATAATCTATGGCAAGAGTGTGGGGACTTGAAGGTCAGGTTATTGCTGTTTGTTTTGGTTTTGTTTTTCCTTAGGAGAAGCACAGGTGTTTTGTTTTCAAATTGTTTTTACAATTCAGTATTTGACTGGTGAGTTTCCAAACGTGTCTGATTGCAAATTTCATGTGATAACCAGGGTTTCTGTATTTCTCGTATTTTGAGGACTCTGAGGCATGAAATCTAGTTAACATTTAGATATATCTACCTTGGTTCCATCCTGAAGCTGGGGGCTCCTTAATGAGGATCTGCAAGCCCATAGTGCTGGTAGCATCACATTGATGCTGATCACCCAGGTGTCGAGTGTGAAAGGATAGTCTGCTAGCTGGGTTCATAGCACATTGTCTTTCCTTTGGGTACCATATAACAGAATGAAGAAAGCATTACTTTTCCATTTTCTTTTATATTTTCCAATATTATTCTAGACGTTGAACTCTGTTCTCATTTTTCAAACAGCCTAAGTAAATGTGAGTTCATTTTTCAGAAAGTTGTGAATTTGCTAGGTGAGTTAGGAGCTACTGTGGCACATCTGTCCTACTCAGTCCTACCCTTCACCTTGTGAGTGCAGACTAGCCTGACAATGCCTCTCTTCACATGCTCTTTAGATACTCTTTTGTCTCGCAGGGAATGATGTTCTATCTCTCTCTTCCTTAATATTGGTGTTGCTGTTGCAGTAGTAAGTAGGGGAGGTACAGTCAAAATGTGTATTTAATTTTCTTTAATAGTGGCTTGAACATCACATTTCTTAGTTGTATATGTTCAGGCCTTAATCCCCCAACCCTATCTATATGAATAATCACACTGAACTCACAGAACAATGGAACTGGATTTATTTAGTAGGAATTTGCTATGTAAGTGAAATCCAGCCCTCACTGTAATGATATGTATTTGCATACGTTACTTTCAAACATGGGAGTGCTTGAGGGGTTGTGATTTGTTGCTTTTAAGTGGCATTGTTATATAGCTTCTGTAACTGCATTTCACTATTCTGATACAAAGAGGCATTCTTCTGAAAACATTTTTCTTGTTTCTTCCTTAAAAAACAAACAACAACAATTATTTTTAGTTGTAAAGGCTTGGCATTGGATTTTGAAGATGGAAACTTCCTGAAGCTTGCGGAAGACGGAACAGTTTTGAGGTAATACTGATTACGTCTGTTTATTGTTAAACAAACATGAACATTTTATCCTCTTTTTGAAAGTCACCTCAGTTTTATTAAACATCTAAAATACTGGTTTCAATATATATTCATTTATGTAAAAATTTAAATACTCTTGGGTAAACTAGTGTTCAGTATCTCTTAATGTTATAAACCTAGTATTTTCATAATATTTCCATATTAGCTGCTAGGAAGAATATATAATTTTTTATAAACATCTAAGATTGAGTGCATACTGATCTTGAAACTAAATTCACTTTTTTCAGTGGCTACCAATGTACTCTGTCCAATTCTGCTAAGATCCAGGGTAAGGTTTTTCTTTGAATTCTGAGTAACTTGAGTTCAATCAGTGCTAATGACTAATGTTAATGACAGAGCAATTGTCTTTCTACCATACATATTCAAAATTCTTGCAGACTTGCTACATGTAGCTTAAGTAGCCTGAGGTGAATTAAGCATAGAAACTGACACATTCACTTTTCACTTGGGGAAGTCTTTTTTTCCCTCTTAAAAATGAATTTTCCCTTGAGTCATAATTTTAGTACATCTTTACTTCATCTTTCCTTTTTTTTTTTTTTTTTTTTTCTTAAAAAACAAAACAAACAAACAAACAAAAAAACCCGTGAAGATGCTAGGGGAAATCAGATTTCATTGAATTCTTGGAAGATGTCCCCATCCCTGGCAGGGCAGGTAGGAACTAAGTGATCTCTAAAGGTCCCTTCCAGCACAAATTGTTCTATGATTCTATCAAATAAGGAATGAAATATCTGTGAGTCTTTCTTATGCGTGCAGAAATTCAGTTAGTACCATGAATTTCAAAGAGCTAGGTTTGGAATTCAAGACAAGAGGATATATTAATGTAAAGGGAAGAGTGTTACAGTATTAGTTATCCTGGCATTTCCTGTTTCCTTCAAAACTGGTTTGTGTATGTTCTTTAGGGGCACATTTTGATAGTCAAGTTAGTGGATTTTTAATTCCTGAAAAGGCTTGTACCTATTTCTGTATTACATAGCTGCTTTGAGGGCTCAAACTAGAATTTTATCACAGTCCTGCCCTGCATTTTGTGAATGTTACCAGGCTTCAGAATGGTGTATAGGCTTCCTGCTCTGTGTTTTATTGTGCAGTGTATATTGAAAGTTCAAGTATAATGTCCTCATACAATTGAGAACATTCGAGCAACACAGAGTGATTGTGTTAGGAGGTGAGGCACAGTATCCATGCCCTCAGCCAACCAGACTTTTGTGAACTAAAACTTATACTGGGGACTGTAGTGCATAAGTTAAAAGCTTAGGTCCTAGCAAACTTCAAATTGGGAGCTCAAGTGAAGATAAACTTGCATGCACTTTGGTATTCAATTGCAGTTCATTACTGTTTTCTAGATGTAGTCTGAATGTTTTTAACCTTTTGTTTTTCTCTCTATAATGCATCAAACAGGGCAAGCCATGGCACTAGGAGTATGACATCTGAAGAGATCCTGGAGATTTATGGAAGGAGGGAATGGAAGCATTTTAGTACAGTCAGTGGAATGCTTTCCCGCTCAGGTAGCTCTACCTCAGAATGTCCTGGTCTGTGAAACTGCTTTGGCCCCTTCAGTGTTTATTGTAGTGTTAGTTCATCCTAAATCTATTTTAAAAAAATATTTGAGATGAGAATTACTGAAATATGTGAGTGTTTGGGGCAAAGGTTGTTTTTATATTTTTAATCTCTAATACTTAAGATTAAGTCACCAATTATAAGGCAAGTAATGAACAAGCTAACAGTACAGGTGTGTTTTGGTTGTAGAGATGGGCACATTGTTTCTTGTTGAAGTAGTGAAGTTCATAATCTCAATCTCATTTAAGAATAATTTTTAAAAAAATCAAGTTTGTCTTAATTGTTGGCATGTTGCTGTCAGTGTTCTTACTGGAGGCCTAGCTGGAAGTGCAATTAACAGAGCAGGTATGGAAACACAACTGCTCATCTTGTGGTGGCAGCTGTTTAATTTTAAGATGGGAGTCATGTTGTGAAGGCACTGTGATTAGGTTTCCACTTTTACTAGCCACCTTGTACTTTATCTCAAATTTTTTTTAAGATTAGTAATTGTGAGTGATGCACATAAAGGAAAAAATGCTCACTGATAGTTGCATTGTCCTGTGTGATAGAGATGTTCTTTGCCATTTTGCTGTCATAAACTCTTTTGTCATCCTTACACTAAACTGCAGGTAATCTTTTTCAGCTGGGTAGAAAAGTACCTCAGCTATATGTACAAAAGAAATGTTTTGCATTCATTATTTAGTTCTCCTTCATGAATATTAGTCCTTGTTTTGTTGACTTATGTAGTATACATAAGAGACAGCACAGACAAGATCATTAATACAATGAAAGCATCACCTATTTTACTCTATTTACTTTAAATTTACTTTAATCTAAATTTACTTTAAAATCACTTTTACTCCCAGAAAAGAATTGCTGAACATGACCTTAGTCTGGGAGGAATGTTTGCGCCCTTCTGACTTTTTTGTTCTGTTTTGGGGCATCATAGAATAATGTGAGCATGCTTCTCACTGGGCTAAGTTTCTGTCTTTAGCATGTGTTTTCAAAGGACAGGACTATAGGAAATCCATCCCAGCCTTTGTATTAGATGATTCAAACCAAATACCCAAGCACCGCCCAAGGGTGAAATGAATCCAGAGAGGATCCTGCCTTCTTGCCCAGAAGTTAGACATTAAAGAATTTCCTTGCAAATTTTTTGTTTTAGACAATGAAGGAAAGACAAAATCCAAAGTTAAACAGGTTATGAGACACTTGTACAGTGTGCCACTTTTAAACAACTATAACATCAGAATAGGAAGGACATTTTAGATAAGTTCTACAGCTAGAAATGCAATTTCGTTGAAATCTGGGGATGCTGGAAAACATCACTGAGAAATGCTGAAACATTGCTTTTATTTTCCCATTTTGTTTCAATGATGCTTGAATAATCCTATTTGGTAAATAAAATGCATCTGTCCACTTTGTTTTGGTTCATTCAATTTTGACTTGTATTTTATAGATGCTAGATGTAAGATGCTGCTTTCAAAGTCACTTGACATTTCTTACGCTGTCTTTCACTTTATGACAAATTGTATTGTTGTGGCATTTTCAAAATAAAACCACTCTGTTATCACTGAAGTGAAGCAATTCAACAGTCTCATAACAGACTAGGTCAGTGTTATTGAAAGGAAATACTTTGTAAGATCAGCAAGGGGAATATAGCGCAATTCTCAGTAGTGCAGAGGAGAAGGGTGAAAAAAAAAAAAAACCTGCCAAATGGTTTCAATTCCCATTAATACCCTAAATTCAGACGTTATTTAAGGAGAGCTGTAGTCAGTAAGAGTTGATCTCTTTTGTGCCCACATGTTTGATGAGTTAATGGTTGGACTTGATGATCTTAGTGATCTTTTCCAGCCTTAGTAATTCTATGATTCTATGTAAGACCTGTCAAATTTTCTGAAACAACTTCTCAGACTCACAGTATTTCTTATTGCTGGGGAAACTGATATTTTGGAATAGCTGAGCAACACTGCTTTGGCTTTTAAGACTCATTCATTTCCATCTCTTCCACCATAACTTTCAGAATCCCAAAATGTTTCCTAAAAATCTTACTGCTTTGGTGTAAGGTAACTGTTGCCAACGGCCAATTATGAGAATAAGTAGAAATAAAACCTAACAAATATATTAAGTTGGGAAACAAATAATGCTTATTATCATAAAATTCAAGTAACAGCTCGTAATACTATTTAAATATATTATTTATTTGTAAACTATACAATACATATTTAAAAACTAGAGGTGTTGTTTGTGTTTTTTTTTTCCAGCCAAATACTATCTGTATGATAATTATTTTGATCTACCAGGAGCCCTCCTGTGTGCAAGGGTTGTGGACAGCTTAGATCAGGTAGGAACTGGACTTTCTGAAATTAAATGTTCCATTATCTTTATCCTTTTCTGCCTCACTTGCTGTATGCATTCAATAATGCATGCAAGTAATACATTCAGTGAAGTTAAGCTCTTCAGCTGCTCTTTCTTGTTTGAAATTTTTCGTGCCAGACTTATCAGTGTATTAAAGCTGTCCCCCAAACTACTTGTGACTTACTTGGTATGGTCAGAGTAAATGTACTTCCACCAGAGGGCACAAATAGCTAGGATAAGAACAAATGAGTTATTTACTCCAAGTTTATTCTGTGATATGGAGAATATTCTTCTTAAAAATCTTTAATTGTACTTGATGGTACTTGAATTAAATCTGAAGAATAGTATGGTTTGCTAGTTTGCAAGAAATGTTAAATGGTTGAAAGCTTAATTCCAGCCTTTCTTCTTAAATGTGTTTTGTGTCTTAAGTGTGATAATCTGTATGCGTAGATGTAAATAAATCTATGGTATACTGTGATTTTTCCAGTTGTTTTTTTTTCCTCTAAGCAATAAATTATATTTAAAGGTGGAAAATGAAATTGGTCCAACTTTTTCAGTGCTTCTTAGATATACAGTGTAGCTTAGATCCTATCTCTGATGTTTGTTATCATTTGATTCAGTTGAGTCAAAGAAGAGTTGAAACTTTAACTCTTAGATAGCTGTAGAAAAGAGTTTTTCTCTTTGAGTAAAATATGAGTGTCAATGAGGTATGGATATAATCTACTGTCTGAAAGTACTAAAGTAATGCAGCGCTTTGTCTGCAGACTAGAATTGAGAATTGTAAGATGGGTATCTGCAGTCCCTTGGAGTATCACCTGACTTGATGTTTTAGGCTTAGATCCAAAATAGCATGCTGAGCAGATTGCTGTTTGAAGTCCAACTGCTGCTTGAAGAGTTATCTAAAGCTAGCTCATTGGCAAACACTGAGGACAGGTACGTCATAAGAGTCTTAATTTTGTGCCTGATTAATCTCATTCCTTGCTCACTCACAGCTTGGAATCCTCTCTCAGATGTCACACCTGTACTGTGTTGCTTTATTTTACAGTTAATTTAGACTTGGTACAAGTCACTTGGTGATGGGGAGAAAGAGGATGGTGCTGAAATGTGGCTCAGCTCACGTGTAGTGTGCTTTCATGTTCTGTTACTAGTTTACTAGCTGGGGCACTGTCCCTGGAGCAGTGCTGTCTTTATCCAGAGAGAAACCCATGCTCTATTTTTCCACAGAGCTGCTAGAAATGGTTCAAGAATGTTCTTCATGAGTTTCTTGAATATTTAACTGCATATTAGCTCAATTTCGGTACAGGGACTGCATCAGTTTTGTGAGATGTTACCATCAGCCAGATAATGAAGACACAAGGCAGGAGGTTGTAGGCCTCTCCAGCACTTGTGCCCTGGACACATGCTGCAGTTGTTAAGCTATTTTCATATGGTATCAAAACCATTGCATTTTAATTCCTTCTAACTCCTAAACAGAATTGTAAGCTTGTATTTCTTCTTCTTGCAACTTGTATTAGTAAAGGCTACTTTTCCTTAAAATTTCCAGAAAACATTCTAGGATTTGGAGAGTTTTCTACTGAAATAGATGGAGAACTAGGTTCCAATTCAGAATGGGTTCAGACAGGAGCTGGGTTCTGTACTGCTCTACTCTGTTAAAGATGTCTAAGCATTTGATGAATTTGTGTATGTTTTCAGGCAAATAAGAGCTTCTCAACATTTTGCATCTTTGCATTGAAGCTCTACACAAAATACTTTTTGTCTGATCCTTCATCTAATGAAATCACTACACAGGCATGCTCATAGTTATCTCTCTGCTTTCAGGGAATTGGTCATTTTTCTTTTATGTGCAGTAGCTCTGGATTTTCAGTAGGGTAGTTTTACAGTCGTTTTGGTCTTTTGTAAAACCAGAGGTTTTGAGGGAAGTATACCACTTTTAAACTTTTATGCACTTGTCCTCAGAACAACGCTCTTGAGGAACTGTTAGCTTGTTGCACTGATTTTTTTAGAAGAAGCAAGCAAACAAAACAATGAAAGAAAAAACAAGGCTAGAGTCAGCCACGTGGAGTATATGCAGAATTGAACCTGTCTAAGGGCTGGCGGTAGTACAGGCTACTGCTGTCACCACTAGACAGGCATTCCCTGACATCTCATGAATACAACTTCAGATAATGACCTTGCTTAGCAGTTAACTAAACTGACATACACAGTACCTTTTCTCTCTGACAGTCCTTTTTATATATATCTGCAGTAGTTTGCTAGAATAATGGATTTAGGGATGACAGGGGAAGCAATAACACTATCTTTCCTGATCTTAATCTCTAAAGTGGTGGACCATAAGTAGGCTACCAATAGTGCTTGTCAGTCACATGTGAAAGGCCTTGTTAGTGCTACCTGATGGAGATGAAATTAAGGGCGGGCTTTTTTTTTTTTGAAGCCTCTGTGTTGGATTAAGCCTGAAATAGCAGTTTGCTACAAATAAACTGCATGTCTTAAGACATTTTAAATTCATTTTCACTTTCTAAATACATCCTTCTCAAGAAAATGCCTTCTACTTACAAAGTAAGTCTTTATTCAGGTACTAGTGCAGAGATACGCTGACAGGTTTAGGACATAGGACAAAGCCATAAAAATCTGTCACAGTTGCATCAAAACTTAAGCTTAAGTAGATACAAAACCTGCAACAACACTATAAAATACTTTCTATGGTGTAGGAATTGACATCTGCTTTATTGCTGCTCTGTACTTTGTAACAGAGCACCTCTTACAAGCTCAGTAACTAATTCTCTGCCCTATAATGTGCTTAGCTGTGTAATTGCACCTGTGTTTAACTCAACATTTTTAAAGTTTGTAGTGTTTGAGTCCCAGAGCACTCTGAGCTGCTTGTGAAGCTTTTTCTCTGTCTTAATGAGACACTGGGAGAGTAACAGAGGTCAGCAGAAGTGCTTCTGCACCTGGACGGCTTTCTAGGAAAAGTGGGAGACTGATCACGTTGAAGATTGTTTTTTTTCCCTGTCCTGCCAGAGCAGGGGTTTGGCAATCTACAAAGCACAGTGCAGGGTAGTGTTGCTCGGTCTGGCTTCTCTCTAAGCATTTCATGTGGTGTTTAGGGTGGAGCTGTTTTGGCAGAAGAACATTGTACTGTGTTGTAGTGAAAGTTTTTACAAGTTGCAATGGTGGAAGGTGATACGAGTGCCAGACTGTAGTTAATGTCAGCCTATTAATTTAGTACAATGTCTGCAGCTCTAGGCATTAATTTTTCCTGGAAGTCAGCAGGGTAGCTCGTTCATTAAGTTGCTGTTCTAATGCCCCTTTTTGCTGTAAGGTTTTTAGGCTACTTATAAATATGAGTAATTCAAAACCAGGGTGCAGATCTGCCTCCCATTATTCAGAGTTCACAGCTGAGTTCTGAGTCCTGATTCCTACTGTCTAGGACTGCTCTACTCCATTTTCAAAATATTTTTATTTGTTAATGGCATTCTTCCCACTGTTTGAGTATAAAAGCTTGAAATGGCTGATATTTTATGTAGTGACTAGATTCCTTTAACAATTACAGCATGATGGTCAGAAAAAATATGACTTCTGGAAGGACATGGTGGCTGCTATCCAACATAATTATAAAATATCAGCTTTTAAAGGTAAGTAGGTTCACCAACAACTTACACTAATAGCCAGAAATATTACATATACTTGCTGAAACAAATACATTTGCTACCATACTGTAGGTTACTCAACGTAGCTTTTACTTTTCAGGCTTCTAAGTTGTTCTATTTACACATTAATCCTGTTATCATTGGTATTCTTATTTTGTTCAGCTGGAGCTGTTTTGATATTTTTAGGAGAACTTTTGATGTATTACCTCACTGACTTTAGAAGAAAAATATTTGATTCATACAATAATGTCAGTATTATTTCACTGTATTTTATTCTATTCTTGGTGTTCTTGTATTTATGAATAACATCAGATATGCACTGAAAAGAAAGGAAACTAATATTTGGTACATTTTTAATAGGCTTTCTTTAGCCCTTTAGTTTTCATTATGTATTGCATAAGAATCATGCGTAGTTAGCTTCCTTTTTAAAAAATAAATTTTCCTTTTTAAAAAATAAATTAAAAAAAAAAAAATTTATTTGGGAACATAATTTAAAGCCTGATCCTTGAAATCATGTAAATAATCAATTTTACGTATGTAGGAGTGTCTGCTTGTGTGTACATGTATACACATAAGTATATACCTGCACATTGTACATATTTGTATGTGTAAGTGTGTAATCTGCATACAGATGTGTGATGTGACTTAATTCTTTTAAACTTCAATCAGAACAGACAATTGAATACACATAATTTTCTGATATAAGGGTTATGAGGGATGTGCACAGCAGCAGTGAAATATGAGAAAGTATTAAGGGATAAGCATGTTTTTTCTGGGGTGGGGTGGAAATAAGTAGGGCTTTGTAAAATCAGCAGTAAGACAACACAGATTGTACACGGTACTTTAATGCATGAAAGTGCTAAACTCGGTCATGCATCATTTTGAAAGGCTTTGCAGTGGTTTTGTTTTCCATTTAATAATGTGATCCAGTGGATGAACAGGAAGATGGAAGAATTGGATATCATTTCTTCCTGTTTGGCTTACCTGTGATATTTGCCTGAAGTATTCTCTTTTTACTTCAGGTCCCTCCTCTGTAAAATGGGAATAATGGTACTAATCTTCTGTGACAAGTTAATGCCAAAGACTTTTTCCTTCTGGTGCAAGCTTAATGTAACTTTTTGAGGAAACTTAAAGCTGGCTCCATCCCATTTTCTACATACCAGGAAGCCCCATGTTTTTTCTTAGCCCAGAGCCTGCACTAAAAAGCATAAACCATGTCTTGACTTAACTCTGTTCCTTCACTGCCCTGTGAAGGGTTTAACCCTTTAGAGAAAAGCAGCACTCATTTGCAGTTAGTCAAAGTAAACTTTCTTAAGCAAGCTTATTAAATGGCCAGCTGGGGAGACATCAAGTTCCCAAGTTAAAATAGCATCTTGCTAGTGCCATTGTCAGTGATGGAGCAGAACGACTGACCGTTTTATTTATTTGAAATTCATGTTTGCATGTCACTTTGTTTCTGGTTTGTTGTCAGCACGCCCTTGTTTATCTTTGTCCCTTCTCTTTATCACATGATTTCTTTGATCATTAGTCAGGTGTCTGATGGATTTTGCTTTTCATTGTCTTAGCCATGGTGATTGCTTTAGATAATGGCCCAACTATGTTTTTTTTTATGGCTATTTTAGATAGCCATGATTGTCATGACTCTCAGTTTATGAAGGATATCAACTCACTCTGCTACTTATTCTTAAAGAAGTGAAGAACTGAAGCTTGCCGAAGAGGCTTAAGAAAGTTCCATGTCATTTTGTTTTATTTGAATTTTGCTTTTCGAACTCCAAAAATTTCAAGCAGTCTATTGAGAAATACTATTAGGTAAAAACATGATGTCAGACAGCAAAAAACACAGTCATTTTTATTTTCAGACAGGTCATTTTTTTTTCAATGTAACAATACATGCAAGAATGCCCTCTGCGTAAATTACTCCTTTTTACCAATCTTCATTATTGGAATATTTTTCATCTTTAACATGATTAGTATTACTTTTTTTTCCCACTTAGTTTATATTCTTATTATAGACATCAGTAAAGAATAATTCAAAGGAATTGTCATGCAGAAATTATAATTAATATTATGTAAATATGTAAAAATTTCAGATTTTGTGCTTTGGATAGAAAAATTGATGGTTTCTGCAGGAGGAAGTTGCCTGTTACAAAAGCTTCTTAGAGCATAATTTTATAAAATGTCTTCTCATAAAGACTGCTTTCTTTCTCTTGCATGATTGTCTTTCCCCATCATTTCCCAATTGTAACAGTAGCATCTGTGATTATGTAGGGAGAATAATACACTTGTAATGTTTTCAATCAGTTTGTAACACTATATTTCATTTTGGAATTAGAAGGATCATGCCTGACATACCAGCTAGAACTTTATAAATTGCACATTTAAAAGCTTGGTGGGATATGCTGTCAGCTCTCAGGGGTGCATGTGAAAAAATTGTCTTTGTTTAAAAGGTATACAGGAGATGAAGAAAGTGCTAGATGGAAAAACCTGTTGTTTAGTAACTTGCATTTTAAGTTTGTTTGTTTTTTTTTTTTTGTAATTGAACAATATTCTGATGTGGCATGCTTATTTACAAAAAGTATATACTTTCTCTATACTTCAGGGAGAAAAATTTTCTGGATCTTTATGAAATACTTTATTCTTTCCCCTAAACGTGTGCATGCAGACAAGTTTTTGATCACTACTCTATGCTATAACTCTTTTGTCTAGGTAGAAGATAATTGAATTGTCAGTGATATCTGCATTATGTTCTTTATATGTGACTTCAGAAACAACAAAGAGGAAAGATGCTTTTCTGATTAAAAAAGAGGAATCTTCAAGAAAGACTGTAACACTAGGATTTCTAATGTTAATGTAGTCCAGTGAAGAAAGATGAGTATTTTTCTTAATTGTGAAAATGGTGGCAAAGATATAAGCTAGTAAATTTGTTATACATCTATTCTGAGATTTCCAGGTAAATTCATAAGTGATCATTTGGATTCTTCACATCTGACTATTTAGGAACTAATGAGGCTTGTGTCAATTTTTTTTTTTTTTTCCCCAAAGCCTTTGGAAGAGAATTTTCTACTATTACAGGCTCTGATATTTTAGTTTTAATCTCATGGGATTTTCTTCTAATACCACATCTGGAAAAAAAATGTGATATTTGGAGGAGCTTTGTCTTCACATCTTCATATGAAGAAAATATTAAAAAAAAAAGTGCGCTACAGAAACCCCCAGTTTTTCCTTTTGGCTGTTCTGCACGGCCGTCATCTGCATTATGTGATTGTGTCCAACTCTTCCAAGGCCTGACATTCACTGGTGATAAAATTCTTTTCCAACATACTTCACTTCTCCTATACAGAAGTATAGTGTAATTAAACAGATTTAACTTATTTGAAGTACATATCTCGAAATGTGAATTAGCTTTTGTTTTAATAAGAGTCTTAAACACTTTCTCAGAGTTTAGGGGAAACTCTGAACAGTGAATTCACTAAACAGTGAATCCAGAGCTAAATCTTTAAATTCTGCTTTTATCACAGTGTGAAGAGTAATTGCTAACTCTTTGGTGCTGAGTGGTTTTGTTAATGGCTTAACATCTGGACAATTATGAAAAGCCTTCAAAAAGATAGGCCTGAGGTACAATGTTATAGACTTGAACTGCTTTGTGCTCATTTGAAGAACAGAGATGTTAAAACACAAAACCTGATTTAAAGTGGGCGGACAATGAAGATAAGCGAACCTAACTTTTAAGAGTACTGTTGAGACCTAGTTTCTTGTGCTATCAAATTGGAATCACAGGCTGAGCACCAAGGGTCTCCAACAATTTTAAACACTTTGACTGGGAACTGCCATGTTTTAAGCTCTGCTTCATAATCTCTCTGTTTCTGAAATAAGAGTGTCAAATTGTTTGAGTGGTTTATATATATATATATATATTTTTTTTTTATTATTATTTTTTTTAAAGGTGTTTCTTAGGAGACTTGTAATTAATAGATGAGAACAGGCAATTCACTGAAATGTCTGGAGAGTTAGTTTAGTTTGAAAGAAAATTATTATGGGATTACTACTTATAAACTGTGGTACTGTCCACTGCATTATTTTCATGCAAACGTAGAGTATTTATAATGGTAGTACCTACTTACTTGCCTAAGCCTACTTGGCCACCAAAATAAGATGATCTCGTATTACTCTCTCTTTTAGCACTTAAAAGTTTAGTCTAAGCCTTCTGCATCCTTATCCAGTAGCACCTACTAAAAGGAGCAAAGAAATTCTGCAGTTACTTTCTTAGAAGTTCTTTAAAGTTTCCAAAGTATTTAGTTTTTCTAACGATGTATCAGCCTAAAGGTGCTCTCACTTTTTTATTAATCCTAAGGTATTTTCAGGTACTTAGGAAACTGTTTCAAATGCACAATATGTAATAAGCCTCGGGTTTCCCTTTCATGAAGAAATGATGGTATCACAAAAGAATTCAAACAGACCTATTTACTGTCAGTGCAAATAATTAAAAACATCCATTAAAAAGTTTAAAATAACAGTTTGAATTAATAATCTTTGGATATATATATAATGTAAAACAGTTAAAGCATATAAATGATAACTTGTCATTGAAGAGATGTTTTGATAATTTATAAACACTAATGCTATTGAGCTTACATTATACCATTAACTTTTTCCTGTGCCATAACAGACTAATATACTATGTAGTGTTTGAGAGACATGAGTGTATGTAGACATGCTAAGCAAATAGTGTGCCTCCAGACAAATTTACTGTAATTGAGATCCTTTTACCATGTAAGTAAAATATAATTCCAAGACTATTATTTTTATTTCTGAATGCTGTATTTCTGTAGAACGCAACTTACAAGCAAAGTTTGTCTCCAATTCAGGAGTTGTAAAGCTCTTTTGATTTTGTATCAGCATGCATTTTGGTTTTAGTGTACTCCAATTATCATCGTATTAATTAGGAGCTTAAAAAAGGTGAACTAGTTTTTTTTTTTTACTGTCATTTACAAAACATGTCAGACAGCTGTGATGGAAACTCTGGGCAGTCTAGTCTAGGATTAGAGATGCACAGTGGCCCTGGGTGCAGCAGGGAGGTTGGCGCTTGATAATTGTTGAGGTCCCTTTCAACCCAAGCCATTCTATGATTCTTTAAAACTTAAGGGGAAGGTGCAAAGAAGATAGAGCCAGGCTTTTTACAGCGGTGCCTGGTGCCAGGACAAGAGGTAGTGGGAATCTCCTGTGATCCATTTTTGTGCCGTCTGAACATCAGGAAACACCTCTTTACTGTAGTATGCTGTAACTGATGGAGCAACAGAATAGTTTGCTGAGCGGTTGTGGAGTCTCTTTCCTTGAATATCTTTTAAAAGCTGTATGGGCTTGGTCCAGGGCAACCTGCTGTAAGTGTCCATGCTTGAGCAGTGGGGTTGGACCACATGGCCTCAAGATGTCCCTCCTGTCCTTAATCTTTCTGTGATTTCTACATTTCAAGTCTGGTTGCTTTTCTCTGTTGTTGGAGGTCTTAGACCTTCAGTAGCGTTATGATTTCTAAATCTACCTTTCTCTAAGGTTGATTTTTCATTAATAGGAAAAGCTGAACTAACTTACAAGTGACATATTGTGTACTGTTGTCAAATTTTGTTTTCTTGACTCTTGTTTGGTAGAAGGCTAATGGTAAGGAAGTGTGTTAGCTTGTTATTACGATGACCATGTTGTGTCTGAAACTGTGTACTTTTGAATCAACTGAAGGTATCATTCAGTGTACTTGAGTGTGGTCTGGAGTCTTGAAATGGCTACTTTACTTGTTAATGAGAAATGATAGCTAGAAATTTTGATTTACCCCCCTTCTCCTTCCCCCTCCACCCCCCCCCCCCTTGTTAATGAAGAGAGATAGACAGGTGTATTATATTAATTCATAAAATTTTAATGTTGCATTTAGTTGGACAATTGATCATTGTTCAAAACAAATTTCCCGTGACAAGTTTCTAAAAACATAGAATATTGTTCTACTAGTTTTTAACCAATTGCTTTACCTTCTCACTGTCCTCAGTTTCTGTTGCAAAATTGAAGTTACAAGACCTGCTAAGGACATATTACATCAGTGCCCAGTTAAAATGTCCTGAAGGAGAACGTGTCAGGACATTCTAAGTGGGGTGTTGTTAGATCTGAGCAAATAGGAAACCTGAGAAAGAAGAATGAACGTATTCAGAGGAATAGAGACCATTGGATTCTGAATTTGGTAGCTGGAGCCACACTTGATCATTCTCCATGAGATCAATGACAGCACTGCCAGAGGCCTGGTCAAGGTATCCTTTCTGGTATTCATCATAAGTGTACATGACTGGGGTGCCATTTTTATAGAGTGCAACCCAAACATTTGTTCCTTTTGCATGTACATGATAGGAGAAGTAGTATAGTCCAGGGATCCTGCAGGTAAAGATTCCTGTCCTGGGATCATAGTGTTGCTGTCTGTTGTACAGGATTTTGTCAAATTTGATGGGGACTGTTGCCCCAGGGTAGGCTTTTGAGAGAATGACAGTGAAGGCAGACACTGGCATTCCTGTCAGAGCTTGATTTGCTCCTGCTTTCATGAAAGACATTCCTGATAGCTCTCGAGACTCTCCTTTAACATAACCTTCTGGGATTGTGGCTTGGCCAGGGGGACCAGGAGGACCTGGGGGACCTGGCAAGCCAGGCTCTCCATTGTTGCCTTTAGGCCCAGGAGGTCCAGGTGGTCCCATGGGTCCTCTTAAACCTTTTGTAGCAATACCTGCTGGGCCTGGCAGTCCTGGTGCTCCTGGTTCACCTTTTGCACCAGGGGCTCCTGGCATGCCAGGGGGACCAATGGGGCCTCTGATCCCAGGTATTCCTGAAGGTCCTCTTGGGCCTTGTTCACCATTAATACCTGGCACTCCCTTAACTCCTTGTGGTCCAACTGGACCAGGCAAGCCAGGCAGGCCAGCATGGCCAGTGTCACCTTTTTGACCAGGGAGACCTGGATGTCCCTTAGGACCAGCAGGACCCTGCTCACCTGGGTATCCTGGTTTTCCATCTAATCCTGGTAGACCTCTTTCACCCTTGGCTCCTGGGAATCCTGCAGGGCCTGCAGGACCCATGTCACCTTTGGGTCCGGGTAAGCCATTCTCACCAGGCAAGCCTTTGAGTCCTTGAGGGCCCATATTTCCTGGTGACCCAGCAGGACCTGGTTCTCCTGGCACACCAGCTGGACCTTGGTCTCCTTTAGGTCCTGGAAAGCCAGGAGGTCCTTCAGGTCCTCTGTGTCCCTTCATCCCTGGCAATCCTGGTTTTCCAAATCCTGGGAGACCTGGGGATCCAGGCAAGCCTGCAGGTCCAGGGAATCCTTTGGCTCCAGGGATGCCTGCTGGTCCTGGTGGTCCCATTGGCCCAGGCTTGCCAATGCCAACTTCTCCGCGTTCTCCTGGTGGACCCTGGGGGCCTGGGGTACCAGCTTCTCCACGTGCCCCTGGTAGACCTCTGTCACCTTTCATACCTGGCTGACCTGGAAGGCCATTTTCTCCAGGCTTTCCTATCCCAGCAGGGCCAGGGAGGCCTTGGGGTCCCTGTGGGCCTGGAAGACCCCTGCTACCTGGGCGGCCTGGAACACCAAATCCCATTTCTCCTTTTTGTCCATTCATACCAGGAACACCTGGTTCTCCTTTCTCACCAGGGAGGCCTCTTGGCCCTTGAGCTCCTGGAGGTCCTTGTGGTCCTGGCTTTCCAGGGACAGACAGTCCTGCGGGGCCAGGAATACCAGGGGGTCCTTGTGGCCCTCTTGCTCCTGGGAGCCCAACAGGTCCGGCTTCTCCTTTCTCACCATTTAATCCTCTTTCTCCTGGCTTCCCTGGTAGACCTGGCATGCCTGGTTTTCCAACAGTGGAGAATCCAGGTGGTCCTGGGGGACCAGGGGGACCTTGCGGACCAGGGCTTCCAAAGCCTGGTTTTCCTGCAGGACCTGGTTGTCCTCTTGGTCCAATAGGGCCTGGGGGACCGGGGGGACCTTGTTCACCCCTCATCTGCACACCTGTATGAGAAGAAACAAGGTCAACATAATATTTTGTGGAATCATGTAAGTTGTAAAAGCCCTTCCAGATTTGCACATTTATTGCAGGGTGAAGAATTAGCTTCATTTGGACTTCACAGAAATCAAGAGTTTAACACTATTGTTCACTCAGAGCCTGAGCTGACTTTCACAGCAGAAGTGACCTAGGAGTCTCATATGAATATGTAACAAGTGCAAATATGCTGGGAGTTGTAATGTGAGCTATGATGGCTTTATAATTTTTTTACATCAATACGTCTAGAGTAAAAAAAAAATATATATATATGTATATGTATATATAGTGGACAAGTGAATGCAAAGCATTAAGGAGGAGAGGAAACATGTAAATGATTTATCAAGATGCAAGTCTTAACTTGCTAAAAGAAAACAGGATGTTTCCAGTAGAACTATGCTTTTTTTTTCTTAAACTACTTCGTGCCTTTTCTTCTTACCATCCACAGTGAGCCATAATTATGGTGTTGTGTTGATTTTATTTATCTTTTAGTAAACATATGAATGTTATATTCTAAAGTATTGTCATCTTAAAGAATTGTGTTTGCTGTAATAGCTTCACACAGTTACAAGATAAGTGATATTTCACTGTAGTTAGTCAGAGCTCAAGTTCTTTAAAAAAAAAAAAAAAAGACCACCAACAAATGATGATTCTTTTTGTCTTAGCTGTCAACAGCAGGTGGAGCCATTTAGCTGAATGTCACAAATAGAGGATTAAACAAGCTCAAAACTGTTTTCTCTGTACTTCGTGGGAAATTTGCTGCTTCATTTTAGAATTAGGATGATGATTTGTAGCATATTACAGAGAAGATCAACATGCATATTGTGAGCTATTTTACTGTTTTGCAGCAGCTCGTACCACTATAGAACAAAATACCATAGTTATGATGAATACTGATTTAAGAAGGCTTGCAAAAATCAGACTCTGAGGTGTATAAAAATAAACTGGATTCTGATTTTCTAATGGCAACATATTCAGTTCATTGCTTATTTAGAAAAGATTCATTAACAGTTGATCAGCTGAAGTTCTATTTGAGTCTTAGAAAAACAACTAAACATATCTGTGTGTGTATATATGTATATATTATATATATGTATGAGGGTGTGTGCAATGAATATTTTGCTGTCTTTAGGAAACCACAGTTTATCTAATCTGTGGCTACTTTTGGACCAAATGAAATGAAGTAGAAATATTTTTCTTTTTTAAAGAATACAATAAGAAAAGCTGTCAAATCAAATGTGTTTCATGTACCTGCAAGGTTGCTTTCTTCCTCTATTACTAGGGAAATAGTTATTACCTATCAACTGCAGATAGTAACTTTTTTTTTGCTGATGCGTAAAGGCAGCATAAATGCATACTGTTTTGTTTTGCGTACATTCCTATCTCATCCTGCTGGTCAGAGTTAAGAAAACATGGGCAAATCAAAGCAAAACTTTGATGCAGACAATCAGTTGCTGACCTTGTGATGTTCCAGTTGTAAAATGGAGAGAAACATGAATACATTTTTATATCAGTAGCCTGAATTCTACTTTACTGAATTTAAAACCTGGCATTTGCTAGCAGACAACTGTAACCCCATCCAGGTGTACTTTTTTATAACTCAGGGAGCTATGTCCATTCTTCCAAGTGAATTCTGTTCTTCAGGAGTTAGAGTTGAATTTCTGCAGTGAAGTAGCACTGATATCATTCAGCAGTGTTCAGGTAACATGCTGTTATTATGCTTGACCTAACTGGGGGTAGGAGGAAGCAATTTCTTCAGACATCAGTTTCAGAATGCTTCTCTTTACTGTTTTTCAGTTTGTTTTAGGTCAATTTTGTATGTCTTAGTTTTGTAAAGTGATGTGTGATGCCTTTAGCAAAAGCTTCAGTATCTTTTGCAAATGTTATTGTGGATATTTTCTATGAGGAGCTGAAAAATGCGCTTGTTTCAGATTTAAATATCTGGTGATTGCACTGTCTTAGAGATAGTAGAAAACAGACGGTCGCATTAATGAAGTACAGGTTTTACCAAGAAAATTGAAGCAGTGGTTAACTATTCTTTTATGTGTCTTGGATGTATAAAACAACTTTACATCAAGGCATGTCAAGAGCAGTCAAACCTTATATTTGGATAGAACTAAGTTTCAAGACTTCAGCATGACCTGCAGTAAAGGCCTATTAGCTTAAACATTGCTGGACTGTCAGATTTAGTTCTGTGATTATTCTCAACCAGGACTTTTCACAAGGAGTTCAGGGCAATGAGCAAAGGATAGTGTTCTACTATACTAATAGTATATGTACTATTATATATACTAATATAATACTATACTAATATATATATATTAGTATAGTGGAATATATATATATATATATATATATATATATATATATATATATATACACACACACACTAGTGTATATATATATTAAACCCACACTAGAAAAGAAAGTATATTCTGACAGGAGAGCTGTCAAGAAAAATTATCAAATTGTTTTACAATTTCTTCAATTTAGATAAAGCTTTAATAGATTTCAGCTGCCAAGATAAGTATTTTCTGGAATTATATCCAATATTGTATTTGTTTGCTAATCTAAAATTAAAGAAAACATTATTTGTATTTTTGGGATCTAAGAATGTCTTTTGCAGATCTGGCATTTTTAATCAAGTGATGGAAAATCTTACCTTTAGTATTTTTCTTTGTTTTAAAGTGAATGTAGAGAGTATAGAAATATTACATTCTAGTTCTGCACTTATACTATGTTCTTTTAATTACTAAATGCTAATATGGAAGTGGGAGTATGCAAATAAATTGAGGCAGTTTCAAGTTCTAAATTTTTTCCCTGCTGCTGGCTATCCATGTCTCACTCCATGATTTGTCTTTTCTGTTGGTTCTGCTGTGGCTGTAGTAAAGGTTAGTTTTTCAGTAGCTACCTTTGTTGCACAGCAGGCCCTCACACCTGCACTGATCTATATACAGATGAATATGTATACTGAATATGTGTACTGATGTTGCTGAGAAAAAACAGCTGAGAGTTACAAAGAAAGTTTTAGTTTGATGTTGAGGTGGATCTATTAAAATATGAACTTGCCACCTGCAGAAATGAGCATGGAACTTCCATCCTATTCTGTTAGGTGCTATCAAGCACCAGCAAATGTTGTCCTGGGTCACTAATTTAGGCCCAGTCTGAAATTGTGATTCCAGGTAGCTTTTTGGCAATGCTATACAAAAGGAAAAGAACATGCTGGTAACTAAATCACAAGAAGATGATGTACAGTGAACAAATATGAGAAATAAGCTATAATTAAGATCTTGACAAGTGCTACTTGAGCTACTTGCATAAGGAGCAACTCACTAGACAACACATTCAGAGGTATTAATTTGGTTTTGCGGTCTCTTGTTTAGTTCTACGATTATTATCTTAGATTATGAACAATGATAGTGAGCCCTCTTAAATCTCTTCTAAAATGTATCTGTAGGATGCTTGTTTTCCAGGCTGAGAAACAGCAGTTATTGTGTAGTTTTCATTTTGATACTTTGTCACCAAACATGAGGATTTGTCAGGTCTCTTTGTATGACTGGTATCTTAAGTCTGTAAAATTGTAAGCTATTGCCACTTTTGCAGTGTGGTGAATAATCTTTGCTCCCTTTCCTCAATAGACAGCATTTTACAATTGTCACAGGTATATATAATCATTATTTAGATTAAGAAGCTTACCGCAGATTAGTTTCTCTGTTAACATAATGTGAAATATTAGTTTAGGACAGGTTTTTTTTCCCTTTTACTCCTTTTTCCTATTTAATTTGAACCTTCCTTTTCTTCTTTATTTGTTATTTTATTTCTCTTTCCCCCCCTCTCCCAGTGTTTTCTCTGGATTTATAAAATAAATAAATACATAAAAGTTGCCTTGAGAAGAATAGAATTAAGTGAAGTGTGGTAGAAGATAATAAAGTATGTAGTATACTTCATATGAAAAATGATGCAATAGTGAATAAAATCACTGGAAAACACTGTGATCAAGTACTGGGAAGAGAAAGTGTAACTTTAACCTTCTGGGAACTCCAGCTAGTAAGTCATGGCAGTACCTGTTCATGTACCTAAATTCAGTCTGAAGGTGCTGGTAGAATTACAGAAATTCCTTGTGCTGAAGGCAAGAGATAAAGCTATAATAGTATTTTGGTGCAGCCCAGAAGAGCATTTTGAGTGGGTAAGTTTCCCAACCATACTACTTTCACTTGTTTCTCACTAGAGAGGATTTTTTGAAAACATGGCCTGGAGGCAATTTGAGTGAGACTATAGCAGCATCTTTGAATTCAGTATGTACTACTGTTGTGTATCCAATCCATAGGACTTGGCTAGAGCTACTCTGAAATGAAAGCTCATAAATGAGGATAATATGGATGCTGTGTCCTGAGGAGCTAATCTTCTGCTCTCTGGGTCTGCTTTTGTTTTCTAATGCAGACTTAAAATGTTTCTTTTCTAATGAAGTGTCCCTTCAGCAGTTATTGTGTCACAGAAAGTTTATGCAAGTGTGCATCTTCATCAGTGGGAGGTAACTTCCTGTGTCACTGCTAATTCCTTCTGCAATGATGAACTTATTAAAGTAAGCCTAAAATGTTAGTTTAGTACCAGTTGTACAAACAGTGAGCTTTTGTTCATGTGTTGACCCACTAGAACTTATTTTATGCTAGTTTATTATTTAAAAAAGAAATAATAGTAGACTTACCTTGACTCTTTACATTGAATGGTAGAAAGTGTGGTGGCCCCTTGATGCTGGACTGTTTCTGGTATCGCTCGGAAAAGTATCCATCGCTACCATGGACAATGTTTAGACAAAACAGCAGCAGTAAGGATATTTGTAAATGCATGTTTCCAAATCCGTCCACTGTTAGAAAGGGAAGAAAACAATGTTTTAAGTAGAAGTTGATGAGTGTCTTTTGCATAAATTGGTTTTCTTAAGCTATTGGTATTAAAAGTTTCTTTATTTTGTGCTTGCTTTTTCCTGCTTACACTGTCTGTGACAAGTGCTGTAAGGAGAATAGAATCAACATGGCTAACTTAAGATTTGGAGTTCTTGTATGTCTAAGATACAAAAGAGGTGGCTTAGAGACAGAAGTCTCACTTTTAGAAAAAATAATCATTTTAAATAAGTGGCAGCCTACTTGAAGCCACTGACTTCAGAAACAGTAGTAGTTTTTCTAATTACTCCAGGACCCAAAAGCAAAGTTCAGCAGTCACATATATCAGAGCTCCTGGAATGAAGAAAAGGTTTAATTGGTAATATATAGGCTATATACCATGATGTTATTGCCCCTGTCTAATGCTATAGTAAATTCCATGAAGTATAAAGTTCTGGCTCCTTCAGCATCCATGGCAAAAATCTCACATTCAAGTGAGGTTTTCGTTTGCAACCTGTTGAATAACCCCAGTAGCAGTAAGGAGGCTGATGCTAGCCATTAAATATCAACTCTCTTGCAACCCCAACCAACATATCCTATAGATTTTAGCATCAAAACCATACAGAATGAAATGAAATAATAACATACCAAATGTTGTGGAGCTCCAATGCAGGGCAGTAGAGTGGCAAATCCCCCTCTAGTGAGGAGTTCTTCTGCCACTGGTGAGTGAGCAGAAGCTGATGATTTCAAGTGTCACCCTTGACTATTTATACGATTTTCACCCTAGTTTGGTGACTGCTGGGCATAAGCTCCTCCCCAAGAACCAGTAAGCAGTAATTATCTGTGTGCATATGTGTGTTTTTTAGGGGTGGGGGAAGCTATTTTTGGTAGGGATTTTAGGTCCTGTTAAGCCTTTTTTAATTTCTTCTTCTTCTCTTGGACCTCTTATTGTTGATGAAATTGTATTAGTTCGTATTTTCTAAAATTTTGCATCCTTTCTGGTTTTAGAAATGAGAAAGGTTACAATGGAAAAACTTGTAAGTAAGGTTTATCATTTTAGGTGCTTCATTTGGATGTTTCTGTGAATGTTTTTAACTGAAGTGAAGAATTACATATTTTGAACTTCAAGGTGTTACTTTCAGAAGTATTCGTCTGAGATTATGTGAATAGTTATTCACTGAGGTACAAATAGAGAGCTTAGAATCAGTTAAGTTGTTAGTTTGAGAGTTGTATATGAATCTGAACATTATTTGTAACCAGTTATTGTATTCAGAGATCGTCTCCAAAATCATATTTCTAAGCTTGTAACTGTTCTGATATTGAAGGTATGATATTATCTATTTTATGTGTACTGCAAGTAATGTTTCTGAGATGTAAGCTTACATTACACTATGAAAACTATTATATTCAGCTGTAATAAATGTATTGAAATCCATACTGCTGAAGTTTTATGCAAGTTGCTGTGTGAGTCTGATGGGACTTCTTTGATCTTTTCTGTTGCCAGTAATTAATATATAATTAATATATATATTATTTTATTTTTTAAAAAAACATGCTCATTCAACTGTAATTACTGCTCTATTTTGACCAGGTGCATTTTGTTCCCGTTAAATTACTTCAGTTTAGTAAATTTATGCTGTGGCTGTTTTAGCATTGGCTCAAACTTGATTACAGCTTTTTTTTATTACTATTTTTCCTTTAAGTTATAGATTGATTCTAACCAATTTTGCTTAATAGACTGTATCCACACATTGTGATTTCTTTCTGAATAAATAGTAGAATCTGACAGTGTTTTAGCATCATCTTTAATACTTTTTTTTTTTTAATACATATGTGTGTATGTATATGTTTTAACATTGTTACATCATGTTCAGTCTTATGGGAGCTAAGTTTTTGGGTGTGTTTGAAATTTTTAGTTTCTCTAGTGTTGCAGATTGGTGGGGGAAAAATGTAGTATCTGTTTTTGCTAGAGTAAACTGGGCACATGCTACGAGTTACTGCGATGAAGTTAACATGCCAAGTTGCGTTTATTTAATCATTTGTGGAAGCCATCTGGAGAATAATATCTATGCAGAAGATTACGTGTGTACCCATGTTCTAATACCACTGGTAGAAATATTTTAATTATGAAAAGGATACTATATATACTACATACTATAAATATTATAGGAATCTATTTTACTCTAGGAATACTAGCAAATAATCTGTGCTACCATGAGTTCTCATGCATGGTAGGTACAGAAGGGACATCTGTTACCTTTCCAGGCAATAGACTGAGCTATTGGCCCTGAACTATGCAGCTATCTTGCAGAATGACAGGTTAACTTGGGCTGAATTTTACCTGCTTTTTGTCTTTGTTTAATTCCACCCTCTCCCAGTGACAACATTTTTTGGCTTCTATGTATTGTGGCAAATATCCTAGAACACAAGTTACTGTACTGAAAGAGACCAGTGGACCATCAAGTCTGTTCTACTTACAGTTGTGCTAATACATTTGCTTATTAGAGGACTGTATTACAGTTTGATTTAAAGACTGCTGCAATAATTTATTTAAAGTACTCTTAAACAGTTCTTTTCTTCTATTCTTCTTTCTAGCCATCCTCTAAACAACATTGTGTTCCAATTTTGTAAATAAACCCTTTCCTCTGAGGAGATCTCTGGACTGTTTTCCCTATTCAGCTTGTGTGCCCAATCCAGTCACCAGTTTTCAGAGAATATTTGTATGTCTGAGATTACATTTCTATTCTGTGTGTGCATTTAGCTCCTTTTAATGTTTTGAAGAAAGAAACTTTGTCCACAAGTCATTTGTGTAATGCCTTAAGCTCCTTCTTTTAAATATTGGTCTCTATAAATTCAAGTGAGAATCCTAACAGAAGCAGCAGAAAAGCAACTTCAATCTTTTTTTTTGGTTCACATAAATCCAAAAATAACTTTTGATTTTAAAACATTTAAATATATAGCCCTAAGTGGGAAGTGTGGTTGTTGCTAATTTGACAATATTTGGTTAAGTTAGGAACAGCAGGCAACAGTTCTGTGCACATTCCGTTTCATGCTAATTTCTAGCCTAATTCATAAATACCCCCAAGGCAGACACACTTATACTACAAAGGCACCAATAATGTACACCCCTATTTGTTCAGCAGTCTCACTTCCTGCCTTGTCTCCTCTTGGGGAGAGAGGTGAATAATCTCTGTGTCTTTGTGTAAATAGCAATGATTATAGGGTCAAAAGGTACATACAGGTAAAACTGTTGTCCTTTAATGTGAGCTCCACCCTATTGTACTATCTTGTGCTACTTCTTTGGTTTGAGGTTTTGTTTTTTGTGGTTGTGGGAAATAGAGGTGGAATTGGAATATGCTTCTTTTGTATGTATTCCTTGTTGCTGTGGGTGTTTCCTGTTGGCAGAACAGTAATATGCATTTAGCTCTCAAGCACGCCTTCGAAGATTGGCTTTTTTGTGTATATTTGCATGTGCAAAAATACGTATAGTAGACACTATGCTTATTTACAGTAACTGCACATTTTTAAAAAAGGTTATTTTCATACCTCTTGTCAAGGTATAACTATTCAGATGTTTTTGTTTTGTAGCTATGCACTTTCTTTTTGAGTGTAGGAGTCTTCACTCTTCTTCCTCCCTCTGTCCCACTACTGTAACACTTAGGAATAACTGTGGGACACCTTTAACCACTGTACCATTCCAGAACTTGCTTTTACTTTGGTATTGGCCCCCTCATTCCACGTGAAAGCAGCCATTTTAGTAGTTCTTCAAGGTCAGACTTCAGCTATGTCATTGCTGAACTTAACTGCAAAAAGACTCAGAATAGAATTTCTGTGGACTGTATGAAATAGGCACTGAAATCCCAGAGTCCTTAATGCTGGCTGAGTGTTGCCTGTTCGTCAGCAAGCACATATGCTTTCCAAAAATCTGTTTCTTGCTCCAACAGAGCCAGTGGAAACACATGGATAAGTTCTGTGGTAATGGCACTATGCTTTGGGAGGTGGGAACTGATATCACTACAATCCTGCAAGTTATTCAAAAGGTGAAGAGAATGAGTGACACAGTAAGCAGACACTTACAAGAAAGTCGTGTGGAATTAAGCATAAACTGGACTAAAACAAGTACTTCTTTTTCTCACATAGACATGCAGATGCACAGAAGCACCTGAAACTGCTGAAGCAAGTCTCAGAGAATGGCTAGTCTAGGTTTTACACCAAATAGGAATTGGCATTGTATATTCCTAATGCTTAACATTTTCATTGTGAATATGCTTAGATTTATTGTTTTGACTTAAAGACACTGAGCCGCAAACTAGTGCTTTCTCTTGTAAGTCAGTTCCAATGTTGTTATCTGCCTGAAGTGAACTTTGAAAAATCCGCCATAGTCTGTGCTGAGTTTTTCTGTGTGAGAGTGCTTATACTGAAAACTTGTGGAAGCCCTAGTGGTCTGTAACTAAGTTGTCTCTGGGGAAGAAATTCTCCAGCCTGCAGTTTAAATTCTATTAGCACAGACAGCCATGAATTTCTAGGAGAAATTTGAAAGCCTGCCATGAAATAAGAGAAGTAATTGGGTTTTCTAGTTTGTAGTGCACTTATGATGCTCTGAAGTGATCTCAGCTCCATGGGTTAAAAGTGTCCAGCTGTCCTTTTCCATCACATAATGCTGGACAATCTTCACAGGTTCACATAGTAATGGCCAGGTGAGCTGTAAGTGGATCTGCGGAGGAACAAAATGTTCTCTTGTACCTTTTTAAATGGAGAGTACTAATACAGAACTCTTTCTCCTTTCTATCACGCTGAAAGAAATAGGAACAAGATTGTTTTTTAATTCGATACCTGATGGAAATCTGTGCGGTTCTTTTTTGTTGCTTGTTTTAAATGTGTAGCTTTTATTTGTTTCATTTCTGTCATCACTGTTTCATTTCATCATTGCTGCTACTTTGTATTTACATGGAGGCTACTTTAAATTCCAACATTACCTACTTGGACT